CATTCCGATGCTGGACGCTGAAGCTAGACAAATACAGAAGGAAATAAGGTGTAATTTTTTAACAGTGAAGGTAATTATCCATTGGAACAATTTACCAATTTACCATGGATTATGCTGGCAATTTTAAAATCTAGATTGGATGTTTTCTAAAAGATCTGCAGTAGGAATTATTTTGGGGGAGTTCTCTGGCCTGCGTTATACAAGAGATCAGAGTAGATGTCGTCAATGGCCCCTTCTGACCTTGGGATCTATGAGTATTCTGGTCAAGACCCATACTGCAGCCTATTCATACAAAAAGTAGGAATAATTTACATAGGGATGAGGTGAGAAGAGAAGCCATTGCTGGATTAGGGGTATCCACGTATAAACACTGGGGCAGGGGAGCCAAAGGTGAGCTGTGGCTGGGGGTAGGTCACTCAGGCCGCAGAGAGAAGTCCCTATGGAGAAGGTGAGATGGCCAAGCCCCTACCTCCACTCTGCTAACCCACTCAGCCCCAGCAGGAGGGCGGAGTATCCAAGCATAAACTCTCCAGGACCCCTATGTACCACATGTCACAATGACCTGTGATATTGCAGAGGGGAACCCTGTTAGGGCTGGCCAGTATCTGCCCCAAGCTCCTACAGCTGGGCATAGGTTTGATGGCACATGATGGCAGAGCAAGCCACAATTTGACTCACAATATACAGCAGCAATATGTGGAGTAATCAAGCTATTTATATATACTCATTTGGGATGATCAAACACTGCTCAGTCATCTCTCTTCACCTTGCACTCTTTAGTTATGGCTATTTCCAGATGTATATATACACACCATAGAAAGATCCTCTGTTGGTGTAATTTGTCATAGCTCTATTGAAGTCAATGGAGCTATGCCAATTTATACTAGCTGAGGATCTGCTTGTAGACAGACGTATTTGCCTTTGTACAACATTCTGCACTTAACTATAGCAAGAATGAATCATCTGGCAGAATTAAACAACATACAAGCAAGATTCATTTCTTTTCCATGTTGCTGAGCTGTGAATTTCTTTCAACAGGTTTTTAACACGGATAGATACTACAGAGACAAAGTGCAACAGGAAATCCTAGAGACAAACTAGATTTGGGAACCATTGAACAATGATACTGTTGTTCTGTCCATTTTTAGCTAGAGAAGACTGGATTTATTGATTGCACTGATGCTAATGATGCACCTAAGACATAATGAAAGATCAAGCTAGGCTTGGGAGCAGGACCTAGGGCTACATCTGAACAGAGGGACAAGTCTTTCAAGAGAGAGTCAGAGAAGGCTAAAGCTGAATGTAGATTCCCATGTTGAGAACTAACAATCCTGAGTTATGTATGAGCTAAGTCCTGAGAGATGCTGAAATCTCAACTCTTAGCAACCTTGGGTGTTCAGACCCTCTAGGGGCAAGTTATTGTGTGGCAAACCAGGGTGTGAATCTACAGCCCACAGCTTGCGCAGTAACATCATGCATGGACATTGCTACAGAACACTTGAAAGTCCTGGAGTATGGTTTGGCTTACCGTACTTCAAAGTCAGGGTCAGCTTTAGGAAGTGCAGGGCCTGATTTGAATAGTTTAGACGGGGCCCGCCACCAAAATGCCGCTGAAGACCTGGAGCGAGTGAAGGACCCGCTGCCGAAGTGCCGCCTAAGACCTGGAGCGTGGGGCCCTCTTAGGCACGGGACCCAATTTGGGGGAATTGGCCTAAAGCCAGCCCTCTTTGAAGTAGTAGCACATCAAGCCGCTCCAGGAATTTCAGAGCAACATCCACACAGGATGTCACTGTGCAGCAAGCTGTTGTACTATAGATTCTCACCGCGGCTTACTGCGCAGTAACTTGCTGTGTAGACAAACCCTGAGCATTTGGTTTCATCTAAGTTAGAGAACTGATAAATAGGTCAGTGTCAATTTTATTCAGTTAAAAATCCATGAATGGAAGCCTGGCCTGTGATTGTGTAGTCATCCCCTTGTAGGGGGATGGTCTAGAAATACTTAATCCTGCCATGAGTTCAGGGGACTGGACTAGATGACCTCTCAAAGTCTCTTCCAATCCTATGATTCTACAACAGTTGTACAGGAAGCAGAATGGGAACTATGCCCAAACAAACCCTCATTTTAAAAAAAAGTTCAGGTTGAAAGTATGTTTCAGTGGAAGTCAGTTAATAGAAAATAACATCCCATTTGCTGCATAAAAAGTATACCCCTAAGAAGATCCCAAGTTAAACAGTCTGGAAATAAACAATTAGAGGATCCAGTCAGTTCCCCACTACCATATCATCCTTCACCACCCATCTTCATTTGTCATCCTACCACCTCTACCCATTTGTGGGAATAGATTTCCCGTTTGGTTTGTTCTGTAGTGAAGATTACTATTCTTTATTTGTATTACAGTATTTCCAGGGTATGGCTACACTCCAATTAGACACCTGTGGCTGGCTCATTCCCACTGACTCAGGCTCATGGGGCTCGGGCTATTTAATTACAATGCAGACGTTAGGACTCAGGCTGCAGTCCAAGCTCTGGGACCCTCCCACCCTGCAGGGTCCTAGAGCCTGAACATCTACAAAACAATTGAACAGCCCCTTAGACCAAGCCAGCTGCATGGGTCACCCATACCCCTAGAGGCCCCTACAGAGATTATGTTAGACACTACAAACACATAGCAAGAGAGACTTTCTGCCCCAAAGAATTTACAGTCTAAAGAGACAAGACAGTCACAGGGTGGAAGGGGAAAGAGATGCAAAGTGACTTACCCAAGGTCACACAGCAGGTGAGCGGCAGAGCCAGAAACAGACCTCGGGTCTCCTGACTTCCAGTCTAGTGCCATATTCACTAGACAATGTGTGCTGCCAGCTCTATACTGTTGATTAGATCTATTGCTTATTAAATGCCCAGTAAATAGAGATATGTCAGAGTTCTATATACTTCCCCCCAGCATGATGTGGTGGGGGACTAGAAGACTAATTGTATGACTAAGACTAGAATTATGGCTCTGGCTAGTGTTAGAGAAAGTTTGGAGCTGTAGGGGGTGGCAGAGCAGGGCTTCTCCCCAGTGTAACAAGCACTCATAGCGACGCCCACACTTGCTTTAGGCCCAGTTTACTGTTCAAACTGAAGCAAACAAGTAGTTCCTCCCACTGTCCTATGGTTTCACAGCCTCCCCTCCCAGGCGTCTTTAGTAATGCTGCTTCCTACTACTCCATCCAGCTCCCTGCTCAGCCAGTCCTCATTCAGCCAGCTCTGGTGCTCTTTTGGAAAAGCAACTCCAGGATAACCTTCCTGAGTACATGGCCCCTTGCTCTAAGGGTCTACTAGAGACATTAGCTCCACTCCTCTACAGTTCCTCATTCCAGGCATAGCCCGTCATGCCTCCTCTCCCTGCCCTCTGACAGGTCTTTTATAGCCCCAGATTTAGCTCTATCCCATTTAATTATCTCAACTGGACACACCTGCTCTGCTGACAGGGCCTAGTTACCTTGCGACACAGGGTTATGTAAGTGTTTGCAGAGCTTGAAAGTTTGCATTTTTAACCATCTGAATCTATATTATGTGAAAACTAACATGTGTGAGAACTGCTTTAACCTGTGCTTGTGTACTAGTATATTGGAAATGGAACCTTTGAATAGAAAATGTGGGGGCATTAGATGTTGTAATCGTCTAGTAATTTGTTATTTTGAGGTTGGTATATAGTTTGGCAAGGTTCAGGTTGGCTGGGGTGATAGCAAGTGATAGAAGACTTTATGGCAGAGGGGAAGTGGCTGATTTTCATGGCTTCCAGACATTTTCACATTTTTTTAAGGCACAAAATGTTTGTGTTGAAAGTGTAATATTGTTTTATGGGCATTCCTGGGCTCTGCTGAATCACGCTTTCAACCTTAAATCTCTTTCAATAAATGTTTTGTTATGGAATTCCTCTGGTGTTTTCATGTGCTTTAATGAATGCCAAAGGCTAGATTAAGTTTGCATAGGGTGGCCCAGAAGAAGAGACCTGTTCCAAGAGAATATATAAGGACCAACAAAGTGGGGTTCCTCTCCAGTGGGTGATATGGGGTGTGGGCTATATTGGTGGGCTAAGGGATTAGTGGAGGGAGAAGGAGAGGAGAGGGATTTTGCTACATAGAAAACTATAAGCATTAAAGTTTCATAACAGACAGCATTAAGAGTTTAAAGTCTTAAATGCAAGACTTTGCCTTTCCCTGTCCTGCTCCCAGATCCCTTGTTTCTCACTTTTTACCTTCCCCTGTCACCTGTCAGTGCTTCTCTATCCTGCCCTCCAAACCATATGCCTCCAATCACCTGCCCTCCCCTTTCCTCCAAGACTGAGGAATGTGATGCTTGGACCCCTTTTGAGTCTCAGTCCCTGTTGATACTTCTCTTTATACTCCTTCCCTAGCTACTCCAGGACAGCTGCCTGACCACGTGTCTCCCTGACATCCCACCTTTTATTTCTGTTTCAGCACAGCCTGGCAGAACCCAGCAGGGTTGTTATATAATCATATAAAGGGTTGTATATGATGGTCTATAGACACGTGAAAACAGCTCTGATCCAGCATGTCACACACTGCAGCTGAGGTAACAGGAAAAGATAAAATAATAAAGAAACAAAATACAGTGTCCTGATACTTTAAGGCACACTCCGCTCTGCAGGGCCGGCTCCAGGGTTTTGGCCGCCCCAAGCAGCGCAAAAAAAAAAAAAAGCTGCGATCGCGATCTGCGGTGGCAATTCGGCGGGAGGTCCTTCGCTCCGAGTGGGAGTGAGGGACCATCTGCCGAATTGCCGCCGAATAGCTGGACGTGCCGCCCCTCTCCGGAGTGGCCACCCCAAGCACCTGCTTGGTAAGCTGGTGCCTGGAGCCGGCCCTGCCGCTCTGTGCAGAGCATTTTTCTGCTCTGCTCTGCTCCAAAGTACCAGGGCTTTCTTCATGCTGATTAAAAATAAAGAGCAACCTGGTAAACAAAGGGTACTTCTGCTGGGGAAAATAAAAAACAGTCCTGAATTTGCAAAGCCTATTATAAGCAAGATAGTCAGTTTCTCCATTCCTTCATGCAATCCGTGCAGGAGAGCTTCCTGAGCGTGCAGTCCTCCTCTTTACATCCCTACACTAATGAAGCTCTAGTATATTGCTTTCCAGCCTACCATAACGTGGGAGTACAAACACCTTATTCCAAGCTGTTTCACATTATATATCTTTGTTAATCCCCTATTAGCCCTCTGAGAAACACTGAGCCATTTGTCCTTAGACCAGCCTGCAAAATTTAACCTTTGTTGGCCAAGCCAATTGGGAGGTAAGATTAGCCAATGGAAACAACCTGGAAACATAGTAAATAGTCAACAAGAGAAAAACTTACAAAAAACACATCAGGGTGAAATCCTGACCCATTGAAGTCAATGGAAAACTCCCCTTGATTTCAACCAGGCCAAGATTTTATCCCACAACTTTAAAAATTCATCTTCTAATTTTTCCCCCAAAACTTTTCAGAAAAAATCTATTCTGGGAAGAGCTTTGGCATATGTAATTTTAGGGGGATTATTTTCTTTTGGAGGAAATTGGGTTTAGCAAAATTGAATATTGGGGTTACAATGGGAAATTAGCTCTGGCCATAACCACAGAACTAGCACAGGCACTTCATAATCTTTGCTAATTATGCACAATCATTAAAGTATGCAAAGCAGTTGAACACTCAGGACCTGACTCTCAGTTATGCTAAGGCCCCTTTATACTGTTCTGGCAGCATACGTTTATGCTCATGCTGCCTTGGTGGTATAAAGGGTAGGGCCTTGGTGAAAATAGGGATCAGGCCCTAATTATTTTAAAATACACAATCCAGTGATAGACCTCTTTGAACTCAATTATGTAGGAATATTTAATACAGTGAGGAACCCACGCAGGTGACACTTTGTTAAAAAGGAGGGCTTATAGATCCAGCAAGCATAGTACAACATGTATTTTAGAAGGAACTTACAATGACTCAGCTAAGAAGTACGGTCAAAAAGGACAGATGGAACAAAGACAAATGTAGGGACAACTGAGACAGACTGTATGACTGACAATTCCAGAAACAACTGGCAATGGTAGTTAGCGCTTCTCAGATTCCACTTTTGGACAGGTGAATTTTTTGTTTGTTTGCCTTCCTTTTAAAATAAAAAAAGCAAAATAGCAAAAGCCAGCTTTTTCCTCAGTTTGTTTGGTGCCTTTGCTAAGCAGTGTTGCAGTTACAGAGGTGGGGAGGTTCACAGTCTTTGGAGCATAAAATCACACCCTAGAAAAGTTTTTAAAATCAACAACAAGAAAAAAAAGGTTCTTAAAACATATAATCACATATAAAATCATACGGGATCTGCTGACAATACATGTTCAGATGTCTGCATCCTGGAAAGGATTGTATATGAAGAGGCTTCTCTCATCAGATGGCGTAGGCCGTTGTGTCTGTGGCAACACTAGTTAGGTTTTGAGCTGCTATATTTTTTTGAGGAAAAAGATCTGCAGAAAGGGGATAATGTCTTTTTGTTGTTGCTTTTAATGTTTAAAGGGAATGTACTGAAGGTTTAGAACGGGTACTGTGATACGTATATCCTCAGCCGGATGACAGAGCTCCCTCTGAAGTTGATGACAGTGTTGACTGTGATCATTTCCAAGTCCAATTGAATGGTACGTGGCCCTTTCACAGGACGGGTCATCACTAGAGTTGCACTGATAGGTCCTGTTTGCTGTGTGCAAAACAGAGAAAGAAGCAGGTGAGATTTCCAAAGATGATAAATGAAGTTTATGATCTTAGAGTATACCACTTAATGTTTGAGTGTCTAACATCTCAAAACGATGCTTCCTTAGCCCTTCCATCCATTTTGCTGAGGTGGGCAAGTGTCATTACTCCTCTTTGATAGATGGAAAGATTTGGGCACAGAGTAGTTAAGTGAACAAAAGTCAGGCAGTAAGTCAATGGTACAGCTGGGAATTAAAGCCAGGTTTCCTGACCCCTAGTTTAGTGCCCTATACATTGTACCTCATTGACTTGGTGAGCACATGGGTGGGACACCTCCAGAGGAAACCCAGGTACTGGTGATTCAATAGGTCTCACTATTTTCTCTAAAGGTATGTACAGAGCAATGGAGGTGTGATCATAGTGCGGATAGGCATACCCGTGCTAACTTTAATTTAGCTAATATGGGTAACAATAGTAGTGAAGATGTGGCAGCCTGGGCTTCAGTGGGGCTAGTACAAGCCCATGTACAAGCCATTGGGGACCGTGGGCACATATTTGGGTTGCTAACCTGTGATGAAGTCTGTGCTGCCTTGTCTCCTCTCTCATAGTTACACGTGAGCTAGATCTACACTAGCTTTAATCACCCTTCATTTGCTGTGTAGACATGCCCTGCTCTAGCATAGTGGTAGAGGACACTGTGCTGCTGTGGTTGCTGTATTTTGACTGATGTATAAAACAGAGGTAATTAAAGACCCATGTCACTCACTGTAAATTCTTAAACAGACAATTACATTCTGCCTGCCTAAATATCTCCTACAGTCCACTTTCAATTAGAAAAGGTGCTTTGCATTTCCTGTGTTGAACTGTTGTGTATTTACATGCACTGTTGAGAGCTACTGCACTTCATCCCAGAGATGGCTGCATTTCAATGGTATAGGAAGTGTCACTTTGTACAGTTTTATCAGTTTGTAAAGCATGTGGGGATCCTTGCAGATGAAAGTTGTTATTGTACATATAAATCCATGGTTATTATCTGGAGGAAAAAGCAAGAACATGGATTCAAGAGGTGCTGGTATGTTGGGCCAGATATTCTTTTCCGGTTTCCAGTAGTTCTTAAGCTTCATGAAGTTTATTTTGGTTTGATGCAGAAAATTTTTTCTCCATTTAAAGAGACAATGTGGAGTGGTTTTAAGTTCCAAAATTTAGCCTTTATTTAAAAATAATATATTACAAAAACTTCATATGTCTAGAAAACTGTTCATGAATATTTGTCCAGTTTCAGTGGAAAGAGGGTTGGTTTTTTATTTGCATAAATATGTGTTGCAAAATCGGACCCTTTGGAGAGACTCCTTTAAATGTATTATACACAAAGGTGAAAGCAATGCTGGGATTGTGGGTCAGATTTTCAGATGTGCTCAGCAGTCATAATAAACTCATCCCTCAAGCACTTCTGAAAATCTGGCTCTCATTTAGGTACCTAAATGGGAGGTGAATGCTTGATAATCTAGCCAGAATGGTTGGTTCTCAGCACTTGAAAATCTGGTCCTGTGTTGCTAAATAGAGCAGCAAATCCCCATTCAGCAGATCATCACACACACAGCCTGGGACCTCTTTTACTGAGAGACATAATGTTAGCCAGAGCACTTTGGTTAGCTCCTGCTAGGTTTTGAAAAAGTACCAGAGATGGGCAGCATGGGCTTAAGTTTAACAACCCACCTGACTGATGGCACTTTTAACAATACAGCAGTATCTGCCCACCCCACCCTCATCCCCCACATCTACAACCTCTCGTTTTTATTTTTTTCCAAAACAAAGGAAAAGGCACCACCTGCTGGTTATAACCTAGACACTCTGGGAATATTCTGTTACCAGTTAAAGGAAAAGTGCAACATGTCCAATAAAAGAAAGGCCTTGGGTACTTTCTGGGATAAATGAAAGAAAGGAATCAGATTTGAACAATGGAATTTGTCTGCAAACCCCAGACAACTGACTGATCAGTCCAGATAGGTGAAAAAATCTGGGACAATAAAACTTTGCAACAGCAAAATGCTGCTAACAGGATGGAAATGATTATCTCTGGAACTGCCTGGAACCTTAAGACAAAGCTGATGCCATTTTAAAGTTCAGAATCCGACGCTACCATGAAGAATGTGAATTGGGAAATGCCAGAATCTGTTCTAATATAATTTCCTATGATGTGCTGAAAGTGTCATTACATGTATTCCAATGAATGGCACTTGATTTGACTATCAGGGTCAGATTCTACTTGTGGTTACTATCCAAGCTTCTGATACTCCTTGTTCTAAGAATGTCAGCTGTCCAATAACTATCCAATGGAGGGGGTGGGGGGAAGAGAGGTCAGCTGCAAATTTTGTGGAAAATTTGGACTTTTTATTAAAAATCCAAAACCCTGCAAACTGAAATTTTTTCAGTTTTTAGCCAAAAACGTTTGTGTTTTGACTGAACATTTTGGGGTTTGGATTTTCAGTTTCCTGATGAAAAATCGAGAAGTCTTGAAGAAAACAGACACTCTCTGCAAAACTTTCTTTTAATAGAAAACTCAGTTTTTCAGTTAAAAAAAAACCCGACAACATTTTAAACCAGCCTCCCTCCTCAGCTATTTCAAGACGTGAGGTCACAGATCTCACTGAGCCGTATTGCCATGTGTGGAATAGCACAAGTGGGGCATGCTGGGCCAGTCTGGTGAATTCCCTACATTGCCATTATAGAGTATCTTTCCCTAGGATACGTCACCTTCCTACAGAACCAGCATCCACAGCCTTTCAGGGTTTGAGCAGCCCGCTGTGATTATGGACCAGTACATTACACTGCATGGCTATGGATGTAGTATGACAGACACACATCTGCCCCTATGAGAGAGCTTGTGCTGAAATTTTAAATAGTATACATTAAAAACATAGTACAGCTGTCAGAGAAGGATGTGGCAAACTATAAGATACTGGTAGGACTCTATACAGACTTACTCACCCGCATGTAGAATTCTCTGCCCTCGTTCCCTGATTTGATTTGGAAGATGTAATAGGCACCAGGGAAGCGAGTTGTTGCTTGCATTTGGAAGATGTCAGAAGGCACAGACCGTCCTGACATGATGTCCATGTCTCTATATAGGATGGTGAATGGTTGATCTCTGCAACCGGGGTTTTCAGCTGGACACATACAGCGACTAATGTGGACAAAATTATCATCAGTATTGAGCCAATTCTGCAACACCTAATTCACTACCTGTTGCTATGAAAGCAAAAAATAATGGAGTACAAAACTTAACTGGCTTAAAGAACCAATGTAACTTTCATTTCCTTTGCTTGCATTCAGAGCTCTCCATGGTTCCACCCCCATCCTGCCTATATCTCTGCCTTCATCTTCCTCCTGCTCTCTGGGCTCTGCCAAAACTGCTCTTCATACTGCAACTTTTGTCTCCTTTGATCACTCAAGAATTTGGATTTTCTTTTCTGGCAGCTCTGCAGCTGTGGCCTCCCAATGCACCACTGTCCTGGTAGGAATTTAGCCTATAAACTCTTCAGGGTAGGGACCCGTTAATTATTGGCCCAGCTCACTTACGGTGCAGAACCATGAACATCAATGGGGCTGTATAAATAATTACATTACTTTTTTTGACAGGTTGTGTGTCCAACACCTTTCGGGTACACGCCATAGATTACCGTATTTTCCGGCGTATAAGAAGACCTTGTAACCCAGGAAAATCTTCTCCAAAATCGGGGGTTGTCTTATACGCCGGGTGCTGAAACTTCCGAGCCGGACTCCGGTCACCGCATATGGTGGGGGGAGCTCAAAAATGGATCGGCCCATTCAGAGGCTGCTGAGTGTGTGGAACCGACCTTGCTCCTTCCTTCCCACAAACCTGAGCGATGCCGCTCACCAAGTGCCAGTGAGCCAGGAGCTGCCTCTCACCCCGCGGCCCTGACCCGTGTCTCCCGGGCTGCTGCGGCTGCCTCCGCTCCCTCCCGCCGTGACAGGAGCGTGGGAACTAGCTGCGGCTGCCGCGGAGTGCCCGGGTGGGGGGATCCCTACGGGGAAAGGGAGCCACGATCCGCACAGGAGCAGGCCAGGGGCGGATCGGGGCGAACAGCGGGGGGCGGGAGGGCATCTTGCCCCAAGGGGTGACGGCTCCCGGACAGAGAGAGCGGTGTTGTGCCCAGAAAAACACGCCTCTTTCACCCGTCTGGCCCGCCCTTGTATCCTATTACCTCCTTCTCTGCCTCTCAGATCTCGCTCCTGAGGACTGCAGTGAAGCGGCGCAGGCGCGCATGTGTGAGATCTGAGAGGCAGAGAAGGAGGTAATAGGATACAAGGGTGGGCCAGACGAGTGAAAGAGGCGTGTTTTTCTGGGCACAACACCGCTCTCTCT